AAACCTTGTAAACATGAGGACTGTGATTGGGGTGGAGGTACATTGGCTTTGTTTTTGTATGTTTTAGGGAAGAATCTGTGGTTTCATCTAGGAGAGACAAACAGCTGTCCTACTGCAGGCAGCCTCATGATGAGGATGGGTCCCCCTGTAGTGCCTATCCAGAATTCAAAATGTCTGACCCTCGTTTTCAAGAGCGCACGACAGGAAATAGACCGCCAAAAAACACAAGTTTCTGTACAGAGTTTTCAAGATAACCATTTCCTTTAGGTGTTGTCTGTTAGACTTTAAAAGTTCAAAATACAAGTAAATACATTCTAAATCTCCGTTTTTTCTCTTTCACCATTAACTTCTGTTCAGGGTACACCGCCTGTCCAAGGTCCACTGAAAAATAAAAATGACCTTTCTTAAAGCAACTCTTGAGATGGGGAAAATGTGTGCTTTTGAATAAAGGAATTGTATTTTTGTTATTCAAAATTATTTTCAACCTTTCTCTACAACAGAATTCCACTAATGTGTTGGAGATCTCTGGCTATGCCTTTGGCTATTTGTCTTCAGTATTCTACCTTGCATCTCGATTTCCACAACTGTACAAAAATGTAAGTGTTAAAGCCCAGAAAAATAAGGTGGCTTTTTTGTTGTGTAATATGACATCTATATGGATGATTTTCAGTAACCGTGGTGCCAGCTGACATACTTTCTGTTGTTGTTCTCCTGTATTTTGCAGTTTAAAAGACAGTCGACAGAAGGAACGTCCTACCTGCTGTTTGCGTTGGCTATGATGGGCAATGGGACGTATGGGCTCAGTCTTATTGTAATGCTGCCTGCATTGAAAGGTTCAGAGGGCGTCTTTATCCTCAATCATTTGGCCTGGCTAATTGGAAGCCTTGGTGTGCTTTTCCTGGACTTCTTTGTATCCTTTTACTTTGAAACAGGCTTCGGACAGTTCTAAATATGCTTAGATGGATTGAGAACATTTTTTTCCTTTTAAGTTTGGTGTACTGTGCATTGTAGCAGTGTTTTTCACATGACTCCAGATCAGTGGACTTGCAGGCTCTTTTAAGATTCGACTAAATTACATTTCGTAGTCTCCTATGTTTTTTTCTCTATCAAGTTTCATTCCGCAACATACAATAGGGGTGTCACCTGAGGATTGGGGCAGTCGTACAGCTGAGGGCAACTAGTGTCACCTTGTTCTCCCTGGGCTCTGAGCAGTTTAGCTGCATGCTTTAATTTGTTTGTATTATTTTATACAGTAACTCTCATTTCAAATTCTTGCCCTGTATTCTAAAGAGTGCTGAACAGGTTGTCCTTATTAGACTTCAGCCCACCCTTTTAATTCTGCAGTAGCGAAGAGACTATTGAAAGCAAAAATGACCCCAGATATTGATTTATTTTTCTAAACATGGTTCATTTATATTTTTCCATGAACTGTGCGTTTCCTTGACAAGCATGACTTCAGATCTCTGCACAGTTCGTTTTGTATCGAAAGCAAAAGTACACTCAACAAAACCTGCTGGTCCTGAAGAAAGTTCCAGAAGTTGAGCCTTTACTTTATGCCGATGAAGAGTTGTGAAGATATTTAAATACAGTATGTGGTTAGTGCTTTTAGAGGTGAGGGTTAGATCAAAGTCCTTTATTTAAAGAGATCAATTGAAGTTAATCATTCCTTGTTTACTTTTTTTGTAAGAATGATTACTTGAAAATGATGTATTTAATATTGTTATTAAAATACTCATATTTATACTGTAATATAAGGTTAGTAAATTGTAGTTATTTGTAGTTTTACCCATAGTAAGACCATACATCAATTAGTTGCACAAATGCATTTGAGTTGAAAATGACATTTTGTAGCATTCTGAATATTTCTGCTAATATCCGACTCGGACTCATTCTAAACATCTTTTGTATTGTTTAATGGAGATGTGCTTAATTATCTAACATTTTATTTGTACATGTTAACAGGATTTCTCTTATTACCTTATGTTTTTCTTCTGCAGTTTCACTTATCATACAAATTTACTATGAAAGTTAAAACTGCTGCTTTGATACTAATGAATTTTGTATGGCATTGCATATTTTGTAGGTTTTTATAGTATTTTTCTATGGGTGAAGATACAGAGTTAATCACAAGATGCTTTTGCACTAAAGGAAAGAAGAAGCACTTGACCTTAAGAAGACATTTTGAACTCCTTTTAAAAGTTATTCTAGTATTGTACATGGTCACAACTAAAGTGGGACTAAATTAGTTCTCTTGTGGTCTGTGTGCGTCGGCCTGATTTTGTGGTGCTGTAAAAACAGCTATTGTCTATTCTTTCATAGCTGTTCTAAAAGAATTGATTGAATTATGCCTTTGTTTTGTAATGTCTGGGCAGGGATGTATGGACTGCTTTCACTGTTGGCAGTGTTCAGTGTTTCCTGCATCCATCCGTGTGGGTTCACTGGTTCGGCCAAGATAACCTCTCATTTTTTTTATGCCTAGTTCTTATTCATTCCACGTGTAAGCTACCTCATTTCCAGTTTATAACAATGAGTAAATGTGATGTCAATATGTCCATGTGTAGCACTCTGTTTTGTGTAATAACAAAGGATGTTTGCCATTGTACATGGAAGCTTAAAAGCTTTTCGTGCATTGCACAAAATCGCACCACTCCTGTTTGACTTTGTGCAATTAAGAGCTTAATCTTAAAAGATCTTACAGCTGGGAAACAAGTATAAAATTGACTATTTTGAGACAATTTATCTCCATACCAGGAAGTAAACCTCTGTCATTAAAGTACAGAGAAATGACATTGCAGTTCTTGTTTTTCAGTTTAAATTGTTGTGCAAGTGTGTGGTTTCATGTCTAGCATGAGCTCCTGGTGCTGTACGAGGTCTGGCTCCAGTGGAAAGAGCTACACGGCCTGACTGCCTTCAACATTTTACAAAAGGGTGGCTCGTTTGTCTCTTTAGAGATGATTTTAAAGATTCGCAGGTTACTATTTGTTTTGCTTTTAAATGCTCCAAAACGCAATTAATTCTGGAAGGGTATAGAATAATTACAATGCCTTAGTATATAAATACAGTATTATTCTACAAAAGATACCCAAAACATCTCCAAAAGCCATCATATTAAATAAAAACGCTTAACATTACACTTGACACAGTTAATTACTGTAAGTGCGTAGATAAGTAAAATTTAATACGTGGAAAACCTTGACGTACGGATATCAATCTCAGTCTTCTGCTTGACCATCCGAACTACACAAGTGTTAATTCTGGTGTATTTGGGTCTTTATTTTTTGTACTCATTTTCTTTGGGATGTTGAGTTTCTTGGTGGATGTTACTTGTTTTTTTTTAACAAGCACACAAGTAAATGTTCTTTACTGGGTGTGCACTTTTAATTACTGAACACTGTTTTGTAAAATCGAATAACCTGTAGTCTCATGAAATGTGAAATTTATATGTACAAATACAGTATAAACAGTGAAATTTCTGTTTTACTGACAAAATCTGCTAAATGGGATTTTTTTTAAAGCAAATATACCTGATTTTGTACAAATAATAAATACTATATAAGTTTAAATTCAGGAATCTCAATAATACACTATAGGTTTATCACTATATCAGTTGATTATGAAAGGTATTTGCATTTCGTACGCTTCAGAGAATTTTATACAGTATATTTACAACACATTAAATAAAGAGCTTGTATATTTATGATCAAAAAGGCCCACGAACAATATCCATGGACTGCGATGATTTGCAAAAAAAATAATTCGAAAGATTAAAAACGTCTATTCTCATATAATGTATTTTTTAGGCTGAAAAAAACATCATTTGTGATTTAACTTTGGACAATAACAGGCACCCCTCCCCCGAAGTCCATTAAACTGAGGGTTTACTGTACTTCTAAGCACATCTAATCTTAATACTTTCTGGTTAAAAACAAAACAAACAAACAACTGGAAATGTTTTGCATTACTTGTCATATAACTGTCATCTGTTTACAGTGATTCTAATAAAGTGCAATGTCTTGTCATTTTCTATGTTGTCTTCTTTTGGAGAATTGGCTGCGGATTAAATGTTTGTGTTTTACATGACCAATAACCTATCCTCTTCAGCTACACCCCTCATTTTAAAGGTTTGCAGGAGGATTTTTTTTTAATTTACTTTTACTTGCGTCTTCCCACTTGTCACACAGTAAGTTAATTGAAACCATAGGAAAGTATGAACGGCATACCACACGATACTGGGGTCTATTTAGATGTCTTCGAAAATAGCGCACTCCCGCATAGCAGAAGACGCCCCCCACACACACACACACATTCCGAGGTCACTAGACGAACACGGGGGGCGTCCATTAGAAAACTTCTACTTCCAACGGGGCGGGGACATGAAAATGTGTTATCCTACGTGGGGAGGGACTTCCTTCAGGATTGCCGTTGGACGGTGGCTACTTGTAGGTGACACGTAACTAAAGTTAAAGGTACCGTGTAGGCCTCGCTGGTTGCGCTGCACAGAGGAAAAACTAGGGAGTCCCTTTTCAATGGGTTTGTGTTGCCGACTGTTTTTCGCCAAGGAGAAAAGCAATCTTCAGGCACCGACGGCACAGAAACCCTTCATCGCCCAATGAAGAAAGCGAATAAACTTGGCAATCCAGTCGTAGTCCAACAATTCCCGTCCACAGAGAGTAGCGAAGTGTTGGGAACTTTATTTTCTTTTGCTGGGAAGGCGTTTCGCTCACTTTCTGCACCATTTCGCAGCGGCCAGCACAGCCCAGACCACTTCCCCCCTCGCCTGGAGCGGCCGGTTGAGATGCGCGTCACATTTCGGAGCTGGGAAAGTTGAGAGAAGAGAAAACCAAAGTTGGGAAAAGTTATCCGAAGTTTCGCTGCCTGTGGGGTGCCGGGTCATCTGGGAAAGGGGGTGACTATGGGCAACGGAATGTGCTCCAGGAAACAAAAAAAGATCTTCCAGTCTCTCCTGTTGCTCACCCTGGTTTTTGGACTAATTTATGGCGCGATGATATCGTACGAAATGCACAAGCAGCTCAAGAGAACGGAGGCACTGGCAGTGAAATACCAGCAGCACCAGGAGTCTTTATCGGCGCAGTTACAAGGTAAACCGTTTTTATAAGACATTAAAGTGCTCTCATTTGCATGCAAAAAATATTGAAACACTACACGCTACAACCTTGTGGGGCCCCAAAAAGGAACTTAAGAAGGTTTTTTTCCCCTCTGATCTTATCGGGTTATCACCGAGAGCTACCACAGCGAGCGGATATTTGCGCATCCCAGTGCGGGTTACAATGTGAGCTGTTACTGATATCCTCACTCTGCTGTATCGAGTCTTTGCAAGAAATGTTTCGGGTTTTTTTCCCTCTCGCGGGGGTGTGGAGGAGAGTTTCTGTGCATGATGTCTGGTTCACTTTGTCTAGATGAGAGTTTGCGAGGAGAAAACAGCTCAAAATTATAAGAGAAATGAATAACTGCTCCGGAACTCAAGAAACAAATATCCGCACTCGCTAAACGTTGGATAGCTGTGATTTCGTTTAAGTTAAACGTCTGAACTGTGCGTATCATATGTACTTTAATAAAGCTGTGTAATTAAAAAAAAATGTGCTTGATTCTTTCAGTATTATTAACCGAGCAAGAGTGCAATCACGTATCACATACCAAAAAGTGTTTCATGAATGATATGCATATTTTCAGAAACACGATCAAGTGCGTAAATTCCTTCCGTTTCACAAAGCAGCTGTTTGAAGCTCCAGGTGAATCAATTTTGACCTGTCTTGCACTCGCATGTTCTACCACAAACGTGATTTTCAGCCTGAACCGAACAAAAGTCGGGTTGTAAATTGAGGAGCATGTTGATGGTGGCACCTGTTCCTTCAGATTCAATCTGACCTGTAATATCTATCGCATTATACAGTCATTTTTCTGGTTAGAGATGATGAGGAGTAAAGATTGAAACTAATACAATGCGGGACTCGTGAAAGGTATGCAGGACGAAGACGAAAGTATGTTTAGTTAGGCATGCAGTTCATGGTAAACCAAAAATCTTCGACAAAGAATTCCGTGCAAGGGTTAAAATCGTTTACTGCCATGTTTCGTGTTCAAAAATTCATCTCATACACCTCTGCGTTTTCAGTGCAACATCTCTGGCATGGAATACGAAATTAAGCTTTGTTTTCAGATTTCCCATAGGCTTAGATGTCTGAATTTGAGGAAGTATTCAATTATGAATCCTATCACGTTTGTCCCTGATGAATTCAGCACTTCTCGACGTCATCCCAAAAACCTAGTAAGAGTTTTGCTGGAACGTCGCTTTCCTTTTTTAAAAGGAAAACTCTGCAAGCTGATACCCCATACCGTTTTTTGTGGTCAATACAAAACTTGGAATGATTCACCGACTTCCCATTTATAGTCTTTCTAATGTATCGAATCCAAGGGAGGGCTATACTTGCATGCTGTTATTCGTGTTTATGATATTCATGTCTTCTGTGCAGTTACAGCAGAAGTTTAAAATATCAGGCTGATGGTAACCATTGATGTACTGTAGTTAATCTTCACTGTATGGAGGAGTGGAGGTTTATTAAACAGGTTTATTTTTTTCCACTCCTTCATACAATTAGCATTGATCGGGATTTAAAATAATGTTGCAAATCTAAGTGGGGGTTGTGTTTAATTTATTTTAATTCAGATTGATAAAGCGCACTCGTCAGAACGTCTGCACGATGGATATTCAGATTTTAAAAAAGCGAAGCCTTTACTGATAATTAGCCTCAGCCGAGTTTAAGACCGTGTACATAACGAAAAGCGACAGAACTGACAACCTTTCTTTTTCATTCCGATTAAAACATTTGCTTATTAAAGAGCAACCAGGAAGATGAAGAGCTGTTAAAAGAAACACATGGCTTTTTTTCCCGCTCCCTGTTATCCAGGGTTGCTCATAATATCAGGAATATCGTGAATATGAGGAACCAGTTAGGCTATCATCACTGCTCCTTCAGAGAATAGGCTATTTGTAAAAAAAATGAGAATATCGCATGCTCCCCTGAGGTTAAACCTCACCTTAACTGTCTGAGTTTTATAAACTGCTTACAAAAGAATGTGCATGTTTTTTTATATTTCAGTGAGATGTTGCTATTAAAGTTGACAGTATTATTTTAAGTCACCCGTTTTCCAAACCGAGAGTTAATTGATTGTACAGCCTGTGTATGTATCAGTTGAAGACTTGTCCTGCACTTAGGAATGCAATGATATTGCAAATGATATTTAGTTGTCATAGTTACCTGGTGTGCTAAGTATATCAGCTCTGCCTTCTCCCCTCTCTGAGAAGGTAGCCCTTGGCATTTTCTTCTTCTCAGGCCATGGCTAAAAGAAAAGTTTAGCCCAACTTTTTTTCCTGAGTAATTGACTAGATCCAGTTTCGGTATTATAATTTTGCTGATTTGCTCACAGAACAGGTCATACATCTCTAAAGTCACAGAGCGTTGAATTTCAGTCCAGTATGACTAAAAGCTATTTTGGCAAAGTTTCCCAGCCCTGAAGGGGGTGATTTGTTTCTGTTAGCTGTAACCCCAACACGGGCCTTGAAAAAGCGATACCTCTTCAAGAAAGGTAATGAAAAATAACACCTGTTAGTTCTAGTGTAATACAGTGAGCATGGAATAGCAACTCCACAGTACTCCAGTAAGGTCATGTTATGATTCAATAAGTTTTATTGAATAGTTAACAGAAATTAGATAGGGTATGTTCATGGGTTAATTCTGATACTTTGAGTTGATGGCCTACAGAAAACTGTTATAATATGAATCATATTCTGATATGACTACAGTATTTGTCGATTGTCAGTTTCTTGCTTTCTTTACCCCCTCCCAGTTCTGTGTGAGGAGTGACTGTAACACGATCCTGGTACTGTACAGAGCACATCAGTCGTTGTCTGACCTCTGAAACCACAGAGAAGAGTAAACAAGATCTGAGGTCATCTTCAGACAGAGCGCTGTGATTTGTCCTGTCATGTTTGCCACCATGGACAAGCAGCAAGCCTCGCAGGGAGAGTGTCTTGCACTTTATTTCTAAATTCTCACTCTGGTGGTGGAGCAGAGCAGGGAAAGGGAGACCGATGGGGCTGAAATGCAGTTTTATTTAGCTCAGTTTTAAAACTTCACCTTTTTTACAGTTTGCATTGACAGATATTAACAGAGCACAGTTAAATATAGAGAGAATGAAATGAAATTTATCACTTATAATTGCAAGCAGTTCCTGAAGATATTATCATGAAAATGCCAATCTTTTTTAGCAGGTACAATGAAATTGTATTGAACAGACAGGACTAGGATTAGTAAATTCATTACACTGATTAGCACTGTTCTTAAAGCCTACTGTGATAGCAACAGGTAGTAAACATTGCCCTCAGTTGGAAACAATTCAGCTTTTATATCTGTAACATGTGTTGCACTAGGTTGCATATGCTGACTTGTGAGATTCTGTCCCATTCCTCTTACAGAGACTGGACCAACGTTTGCCTATTAACCCATCTCTGAGCTCTAGATAGTCTGTGTCATCTCAGCTGATCCCACTAATGATAAACGGGGCTCAAGTCTGTGGAGCAGACCTATCACATTTTCACCTTGAAGAAAGCTGTTGCGAATGGGGCACCCTGCGGACGTGCTGTGCGCTGTCCGGCTGGGATGTTATGGCAGGATGAGCCTACAGGAAGGACAGCAGCAAGTGAGGACTTGTGTGATGCTGTCAGTCAGTCCCTACAAATCGAGTTCTTTAGCGACTAGACACAACATCACAATTCGACCTCCCAGGCTGAGCCTGTATACAACTATACAGCGATCATGAAGATTTGCACAAAAACTTCATTCATCACTCAAGACAATTTGGCTGCGATGCTGGCAAGTCGAGTCTGGAGATTTTGTTCAACCTGCAAAAGTTCATTGGGATGAAAGTGTTGTTTGCTTGAGAAACAGGGCATATAATGTCTTCACTGTGTTTTTCTTTTTTTTACCTGGCTTGACATTAAACAGGTTAAATCACCTCACCTGTTCTCACTAATACAGTGATTTGGTGCTAATGCAACTGTCTGTCAAATTAGTACATTTTATCACTGTCAATCAAGAAGGACAAATTAAACGAATGACACCAAAAACATGAATACAGATTTTGGAGAGTAATACTTTAAAACAAAACATGCATATATACTACTAATATTTGTTTTTATAATACACAATGTCCAATCTGTAACATTTCAAAATTGTTCTCATCTTAAGTGCTCTGGTGTCATATAGGTGAGTCACAGCTATATGTAGAAAGGATTATGTATAAATATACAGTATATGTAAAACAGCATTGACACCTTATTTCCAATGATGGCAAAGTGGTGTCAGAGGTTCCTGGGTTTAAATCCCTCAGAGGGATGATGTACTCTGTGGTACTATTATGGTACTTGTAATTCTTCAGTAACAACAACCTGCTCCCTAGATGGGTACTCTAAGTTGGCATCATTATATAGACCAAATTCTTATTTACAGTCTACCCACCCATGTTGCTGAAGCTGATACCCTGGTTGGTTTCAAGGAATGAATGGCTGAGATTTGTATATCTATTACCTACCAAATGGCCTAGATGAACCAAATGTCATACTCTCATTTGTAACCTGTTTTCTGTTTAACCTGTTTCTCTAAGCTCCTTCAGTTCAAGAGGTCTTGATGAGCTTTTCTTTTTCATACCTTCCCTGAAGTTGTTTGATTCATCCTTGTCTTAGCTGCTTCCTTCTTAATTCATCAAAGATGATTGTCCTGTCGAGAGCGTGCTTTATCATTGGATTCAAGTTCTGCCAAAAGAATAGATGCATTCATCTCAATTAGACAATGCAGGAAGCTCTCTCTTATCCTGTAACTGGTTAATTCTTCTGTAAATATGGGACTTTTTGCCTTGTCTTAATTCATTTAAAGATAAAATCTAGATTCAGTGCCAGCAGCTTGAGATTACCGCTGAGTATTTTTAGACCAAGTGACCATGTTGCAGTCTCTTCGTCACCAAAAAATCCTTGAAAAGTTTTTCCTTTTTAAATTGTCTGAAGATGATCGTGAATTGAAAAAGAAAA